TGTCCTATGACAAAATGGAGGTCATTTTCAGATTCAGTACACCAAAAAACAAATATTATGTGGAATAACCAAAACAACTCTCGAAAATTTTTTTTTTATGAAGCGAATGTATAAAATAAGCCACTGTGTCTCTAGAATTTCAGTAACCATTAAAACAAGATGCAGACAGGAAGAAAAATATGCCACAACTTCAGGTAGAAAAGAAATGCCCACCTGACTGAAAGGGGGAAAGCAGGAGGGGTTGCCTGTCTCTTTGACCCCAGTGTGTAATCGGTTGCAGGCATTCCTGCCCTGCATTCCTCACCTTAAAGATACACACCTGTAGTGCCGACTCCCCAATTTCCTTGGCACTTGCCGCCTTTCCGAATAGGCAGAGGCGTAAAGTCCTTCCCACCTACTCAGTTTTTCAAACGTGACCCAACGGGCCCTTGGAAGGCGAAACAGGGAAACACCCCTTTGACTCCTGTGAAAAACCTTCCACGCTTTGGTGTAAGTTAGTGCAGAAAGTTGTATTTGCTGAAGCCGCCTGATCCGGGGCTGGGGAAGAGTGTTAGAGTGCTGCAGAAGGGAATACAGCAGCAGTTCTCAGCGTGCCTGGGGGGAGAGTATAACCATCTGCCCCGCGGACTGTTTTATTGCGGCAAATAAACGTTGCGGAACACAGCGCTCCACCTGGTTCACAGAAAAGAGGGGGTCGGTGTAAGGGAAACCCCGAAGCTAAGTGCGGCCAGAGCTTTGCTTTTTCCTCCCAGCAAGTTTACTTTGCATGTCTGATGGGATCTACCTTCAGCCAATAAGTTTCTTGAAACAAGGGCACAGGTAAGTTTTAACCTCTTCCATCCTTGCAAACCTCTTTGGTCCTTGCAAAACAAAAGCAGCGGCGGATGAAGAATCGAGAGGCGAAAAGTTGCTGCACGGGGGATCGTTCCAATCCGAAGAAGGGAGCCTTGGGCGAAGGCTTAAAACAGTCTCCTAGAATTGTGCAAGCTCCCCACCTCGCTCCCTCTGTTCTCGGTGTAGCTGTAGATCAGCGGAATTGAGGGATTTGTGGGAGGGAAGCATTTGGCAGATTTTACGATAATCCGATTACGAATTAAAATGCTTTCCGGGGGCTCGTTTTTGCAATAAGAGCTCGTTTTTGCAGTACGACGAAGAAGAGATTATTTTCTTTATTTCCTCTTGTAACCCATATTTCCAATATTTGGCAAAGTTGTCCTGCACACAGAGGGTTTGAATTAAACAGCACTGTAATTAAACGAGTTTGGCATCCTAGCATTTTAATCCTGGAAAATGCATTGCGCAATATTTTGGAAACAAGTGTCTGATGCACAATTTTAGAAGTATTGGACCCCACACCCTATCATTCTCAATTTAGTGTGGGGGTTGTAGTCTTGTACACCAGGTTGAAAGGGGATAATGTTAGTTGGTGACCTAAATTTTGGAAAAGGAAGAATTTTCGCCTTCTCTCCCCACCCTGACTCTAAACTCAGTTTTCTTTTTTCTTTCTTTTTTAATTCTTGTGACTGGAATAGTTATAAACTGAATCTTATTGCACATTGGCTGTCCAGATCATATGACAAATATATTTTTCCATATGCTAAAAGATCCTAAGATTGTAAGAGGTCTCATTTTTAGACCAGAAGTATTTTTCAGACCACATGTTAAACAAAGAAAAAGAAAAAAATTGGGGATTATGTTGGAATATAAAGCCTAGTTGTGGTGCCAATCCTAACATGTTTTATTCTGTCCATGTATTTGCATATTTATGTATATATAAGATGTTCATATGTAGATTGTTCAGCATAAAGAGAGTTTTAGAGAACTTGGAATTTTGTTTTGAATAATAACTAACTGTGACTTTTGACTTTCTTCTTAGCCACATATTTTTGAGAACTGAACTGAAGAGAATGCTGTTCCTTTCAGTTCAGAAACACAATATTGTATATACAAATGACAATAACAACTTGCAAGTGATTTCCAAGTGATTTCTTTTTTATGCCAGCAAAAGTTGGAGAGGATTTGTTTGCATTCAGCTGTGACTTGAGCACTGTCCTAGTTTCTTCTCTGTGCAGCACACTTAGCAGATAGCTGTCTCTGAGCTATACCAACTACCGAAGAAAGATCTACTGTATATGCTTAAGACCTTAATAAAATAGATGCCCTACCATACATGTAATCATTGCCTGATCCTATCACTTATGTGAGCTCATCTGCCTTGCTAAAGTTTCCTAATATTGCCCAAAGCAACACAGCCACTTTTCTTGTTGAATCAAACCAGGTTAGACAAAAATAAAAAGCTTTGTGTAAAAGGGAATGTTAGAATAGATGCCTGGTGTGCCCATAATCTCAGATTCATCTTAAGTCAATTCACTTCAAAGATCTGTAACTTCCTGGACTAAGGCTCATAACTGACTTTTGAATGACAGGCTAGAGTGGTACCTTGGTTGGAATCAAGATGGATAACTAAAATGTTATCTCATTTAGATTTCAAGCTACATGCATGGTGATATGAATCTGTCCTTGCTTTTTATTATTTCTCAGCATTTCTATTTTCATAATGTGTGTTACTATTTCAAAAACATGTTCCTGTAATTGGATCCATGCCCTCAGTTAGTTTATTTTAACCATGGTTTATTAACTAGAACACAATATGATTAGTCTCAGATAATAAGCTATGATAAATCATAAATTATGCTTTAATATACTAATATTATATCATTAGGTTATCTATCATTTATCCTTATGTTGCTTTTGTGGTGTGGAGACAATAACGTGGTCCTTAACACCAGTAAGAGCAAGGAGCTTATAGTGGACTACAGAAGGAATAGATCAGACATCCAGCCCTTGGTTATCAATGGAGACCAAGTGGAGCAAGTGGCCAGTTTTAAATTTTGGGCATTATCATAAAAGAGGACCTGACTTGGGGCGCTCACATTTCACCCCTGGATAAAAGGATCCAGCAGAGATTATACTACCTGAGACTTCTCAGGAAATAACAACTGAACAAAAAACTGGTGACCTTCTACCGCTGTAGTATAGAGAGTATTTTAGCTTACTGCACCTGTGTATGGTTTGCTAATTCCACAGTGGCAGATAGGACAGCGCTCCAGAGGGTTAACATCATTGCCTAGAAGATCATTGATTGCCCTCTCCAATCTTTGGAAGAGCTTTAGAGCTCCCACTGCCTTAAGAAAGTTCAAAACATTCTTAAAGATCCATGTCACCTCAGACACCTTTTTTTGAACTATTACCATCTGGCAGATGGCCCAGGACAATTAAAACAAGGACAAATAGGCTGAAAAACAGCTTCTATCCCAAAGCAGTAACTATATTGAATTCTACTGCAGAGTGTAATATTAATGCAGTATCAGGGTTTTCAATTCAATTGTATAGAGTGTGAAGGATGTGTGTTCGTGTTTTATTTTTATAGTTTTCTTATGTATGATGCACACTGAAGATGGCATTTAATTTCGTTGAATAATTGTAGTGGGTTCACTGATGGGTGATCAAAGTGTGTCCAATTTTACAAATAGCATAACAAAATACAGCTGTGTTCAAGGAGAGTGAA